CATTTTTGTCATTGCAGCAACAACACTGCTGGTGGATTGGGCACCTGATGAACTCCATGTTTGAATGGGAATTTGAACCTAGGTTTTCCTTGTTGCAGTCCAGCATTTCAACCACTACATTACATTGGTTGACAAATGTCCTCTTATTACTGAATTGTTTTGTTCATCAGTAACTAGGACTTTTTCCTGTGTGCAACTTCAAAACCCTTTTTGGTTTTCTAAAAACAGTATTATTACTACATTCACTATCTTCCTACCACTTAATCACACCTTGTATTTTCAAGGTCTCTTTCTTAGTAGAATATGCCTGAACTTTGCAACCTAAACTCTCTTTCATTTTCCCCAGGATTCCATTCCTTATTAATTAACTGCTTGTCTTGTCTTAATCATGCTTCATTCCCTTTGCTTCTCCTGTATGGTTAGATGCAGAAGAGGACAAGACCCTGGCGTCTTTATAAAAGTTATAAAGAGAGAATGTCAGCAGGTATAATTTAACATGCAAGTAGACCCATTGAAATCCCTAGTTTTACATGTGATTAACTGATGCATGATATTCTGCTGTCCATATCTGAGACCTATGAGGAACAAAAATTTTGCAGCCAATAAACAAAGGTGAGAATTAAAAGAATTAAAAGTGCCAAAATCAAGTCAAAGCAAAAGTCAACTTTCATTAAGCTGTTACATCTTTAACACAAATTCAGTAATACTTAGAAAAAAACCATTTGAAGGGGGATTGATGGTTGCAAAGTGAGTGGAACAACATCACCCATGTAAGCTGGTGGAAGATTTTTTTTAGCAAGTTGATTTGATTGATTGATTGATTGATTGATTGATTATGTGCCACCAAGTCAGTGTTGACTCTAAGCAACCACACAGATTTTCTCCATGATGATCTGTCCCTAACCTGGTCCTTCAGGTCCTCCAATTGTGCCCCTATTACCACTGTAACTGAATCCTTCCATCTTGCTGCTGGTTGTCTTCTCTTTCCTTCCACCTTTTCCAACATTAGAATCTTCTCCACATAATTTGTCCAAAGTATGATAATTTGAACCTGTTTATTTGTGCCTCAGGTGAGGCACAAATGCTTCTATCATCCTCTATTCTTTGCCCATCTTCAGAGGTATAGCCACACTTCTGCAATGATCTGAGCCAGCTAGAGAGCAATTCTCTGAAAATTTCCATCCTGCACATCATGTGTCATCCTAGAAGAGGCATAATGGTGAGACCAGTTGGATAGCAAGATGAAAGCAGAAACAGGGCTGGTGGGGCATCTAGTTTTGTTGAAAATTTACAGCATAAAAATGCTATTCATCAAATTTGAAATGTCAAAAGCATCTCTAGGCTGGCACAGTGCACATAACCTATCAACAGCTGCCCTTATGTACCATTGTTTGGAAAGCTGTTTAAAATTTAACAAGCAAGCTACAGGATGCAAATAAATGGAAATGTCAGTGCTAATTTTCAGGTGGGAAGAGGAAAAAGTTGCTGCCAAGAAAAGAGGAAGCAGCTGTAACTTAGCTGCAACTGAGGGATTTATCAGAAATATAGCAGAAAAAGTGGAGCCAATTTTCACTTGTTCTTTCTATGTACTGCTAGGATTAAGAGACTCTGATTATTTTGCACAAATAGGCTATTGCAGTTTGAAATAGAATTGCAAGTTTGTAATACAAAAATACAACACAAATTTGTTTTTGTTTTTTTTTTGGTATTTTGTTTTGCATTAGTAGCCCTTTCCTTATTTCAAAATGTATTTTTCTCTTTTACTTGCAGATCAATGCAGTGCGTTCAATTGTTCCCAACAAAAGCAACAACGAGATAGTGCTGGTGTTACAGCAGTTTGATAACAACGTAAACAAGGCTGTGCAAGCTTTTATGGATGGTCTGTATGCTTTTCATGTTTCACTGACTCTTCAGAAAGAAGCCTTAATTGTTAAACGTCTCATTCTTTGCATAGGTGAAATAAAGGTCATCCACGTGCCCTATTAAAAGGAAATATTCAACATTTCTTGAAAGTAGAGTTTTCTTCTGGTTAGTGACTTGAGAAGGGATTTATAGGCATCACCAGCAAGCCCTGTGTAGAAATTATCAGCAACTTTTCATCTTCTTGGTGGTAGCCCCCAGAATCCAAGAGTAGTAGAAAGAGTATTTAGGGCGTGGAGGGAATGCCATAGTTGATTTAACTGCTTTGCTGATAATTTAGAAAGGTCACTAAGAACAAGTGGGGCCAGACTCACAGGGAAAAAGAAATAATTTTAAGCAGAAATTAATGAGATAGTACCAGGCTCTGGCAGCTACGGAAACCAAACATGTCTTTAAGCATAAAGTAGCATTCTTGATGCGTCTCATAACTTCAGGGATAGCTCTTATAAACTTGGGCAGCTTCCAGAGTATTAAACCAGCAATAGCACTCTAAGAATGGGAATTATTCTGAGCCACTATTGTTGCTTCTTGCATATTCATCTTTCCTTCTCTTTTCCTCTCCAGGCAGCGCGCTTCAAGTGCTAAAAGAATGGAATATGACTGGCAAAAAGAAGGTAAGGGATTCCAAAGCCATCAAACTCACATTATCTGCATAAATTGTTAGAGCTGAGCAACTGATTTGTTGCGACAGTTTTTTGCCCATTGTTTTGTAGTGAGCACAATTCCACCTCTGCTTCAAAACCAATCGGTGCTTTTAGTTTTAATTATTCCTCGCAGTTGCCAGTTGTGTAATTGCAGATTGCCCTGGATAACTTGACAGAAAATCAGAACAATTGAAGTAGCCTGCCCTACTGAAATCTGAACATTTCTTTAAGAAATAATCAAGGCCAGCGTTTTTCACTGTTAAGTGACCCTTGAATGATTAGAAAAGTATTTATTTATACTAAGCATAATAAGTGTTTACAACTTCCTATAACAATTATGTAAGGATGGCTACCAAGTTAAAGCCAGTCAAGCCAATGAAAATCCATAATTGGGTCACTTTAATTTTTTTTTTATTTGGCCTGGCCACAATTAGGGTTGGGATTGTGGCCCTGAGAAAATATAGTGGCCGTCCATCTGCAAGAGTGAGTGAGTATAGTCGACAGGTGGCACTTCAGGAATAATTTGACAGTAGTCCAATAAAGCTATATCTATGTTTTGATTGTGCCGCATGCACCCCACCTAATGCTAAGATAACCCCCCTCTCTTTTGTTGGTATAATCTTGCTCCACCCAAAGTGATGCTTTAAACTGGACCCAGTCTGAAGCTCTTCACTGTTCTGTATGTGTGCGTGTGCGCGTGTGTATGGGTGTCCTTATACAGAGAGATACATATATGCACACACAGTCTGGGTATAGTTGAAATGGAGACTACGATGGTAGGATCACAACTCCACCCATTTTTTAATGCTTGTCACGTATAAAAGCCAGGCAGAGCTTCGAGTGCTCCATTGTGGCCACCATCTTAACTTTTTTTACCATACCCTGCAGACACCCTGCACACACACACATAAAAATAATTTTCAGTAGGCGAGAGAACTCTGATTGCTCTCTTAAGCCGTTGAGATTCTAGCTAGCGCTTCTCACTTTTGTTTATACAGTCTTAACTTTGAGTAGGCTCTGTGGTGCATGGAGAGTTATTACAGTACATATTAATCCAACTGTTGCAAAACATAACAATTATGTTCTTTAAAAAAATTCTCCTTGCATGTATCTGTGGTTGAATAGAACAAAGTCAAAGTTAAAAAAAACATTTTAAGAGAGCTAAATATGCTATATACTTTTTTAAAAAATGATTTTTATTTAAATAGCCAATGCTCTGCTGTAACTGTAATTATTTTATAGTTCTGTCCTTCGCTCCGTGTGTATTTCAAGGAACGTGGATGAGGCCCTAACAATATATGTTGCATTTAGTACATTGAATAGAACTTACAACTGAAAGAAAGAAATTTGGGTGGAGTTGTTTTTCCCACTGCAGCATGACCTGCATGGAGTAATGTTGCTATCCTTACTTAATGCAGAACAGCAAAAGGAAAAGAAGCAAATCGAAACAACATCACCGTAACAAAGATACAAAAGACAGAGAGGATGGGGCAGAAAAGGTGTCTCTGGAATCCCAAGAGTTGAATGGCTGTCAACTGAATGGCTGTCCTGGAGATACTTTCCCTGGCAAATGCGCCAGTGAAAAATCAAAAAATCCTCATGAAGAAAATAGCTGGGAATACAAGGACAGGGCAGAGACAAAACCAGAAGTAGCAGGTCAGTGCGTGTATGTTATGATCAGCTTGATTTCCACCATTCTCATTCAGCCAGGATTTTGTCTTTCATAGAGATGGATTCAATTCAGTTCTGATTCATTTTCTCATTTGAAATCTTCAAATTCATGGGCGTTTTTGTTCAAATTTGCCTTATTATACACATTTTTGCAAGGAAATATATAATGTAATATGATGTAATATAATATAAATAATATCTTTTTTCACTGTTCAAGGAAATGTTTGTGTACACCTTTCTCTAATATTCATTGAAGATACATCAAAACATTGTAAAAAATGTACATTATTTAATACATACACATATGCATCTCTACATTTTAAATAATGTAAGTTTCTATGATGAGTTTCAGCTTGCATATTGATTTGAAAATGTGAATTGGCATTCAGATGTGAACTAAACCAATTTTTCCCATATCCTATCTTATATGATTAGCCTCATAGCTTTTACTTCCTTCTTTCCTTCTTTTTGGTCTCCTTAGAGATCATTTTATTCAATTGTTTTCTGTTTTTCATACTGTAGTACACCTGCCTGAGTCTAGACATGAATGTCTTGAGCCAGTGTTTTTCTCCACGATTGGTCCGTGCTGCTGTTCTTTCCTCTGGTACCTTCTTTGTTGCTCCCCTTTTTCCTTTGGGTGTTGTTTCTCTTGTCCTAATGCAGCAAAATAGCTAGAATGTAATATTGTTTGCTGGAATTATTTCAAATTTTTAAACTTCTGTGTGCTATCATGCATTGTTGCATTTACTCATAATGCATATCATTTATTCAGAGTACAGCTGCAGCAGTACGTCCCCTTTTCTGATGGTTAAATCATTGCTGGAGGCAAGCAATGCTGAACCAGTCCAGCATCGCCTGTACTCTGATCTGTTTTAGTCCACCTCCTGTAGAGGTTTCTTACAACTGCCCTACCAACTATGTATATTAATAGCGATCACAGTTATCTGTCTTTATATAGCTGGTTCTGCTGAACTCCAAGTATGAAAAGGATGTTTAGGAAAGAAAGGTTGAAGTTGGGGACCCAACACTGCCCTATGATTATTAAGGAAGTATATATCTTGGAGAATGCTGACTGCTTGTTGGAGAGGGTTGAAAAATTGGAAGGGCATGAAATGGAGTATCCTAGAAGAGAATATTCTTTTTGCCAGCCCTGAATAAGAGTACCAAATGCTTCATCCTTTTGTTATAGATCCCACCTGTCTCCTACAAAGACCAGAAATGTCTTCCATATGACCATATTAGCATATATCCATCCTGGGCTTTTATAGCATTTGGACAGGAAGTAAAATATATATTGGCAGCCATAAGAATCATGTACAAATTTGTTGCAGATGTAAAGCTTCCAAACTTCTGAAAGTTTTTGGTCAATATTTTCAGCATGAATAGTCATAAAAATACATTAAAGGAACATTCCAGGAGAAAGTTGGGATATGCTTCTGAAAATCATTTTCAAAGATGTGTATCTTACAAATGCTAATTTAAATGTGTTTCCCCTAAAGAAACACATTTCCTTAGTGTTTAAAGAATCCTTTAAGGTATTACCACCATCTGGCCAATGTATTATTCAGACCAAACATAACTGGTATGTATAAGTCTGCCATAATAAAGAAAACCCTGTTCCAGAAAAACAAACTTGCAGACAGGTGTGGAATATATATTGTGGCTTGTTAATAGACAATTAGCCCACATGAAAAATAATCAAGACCCACACATAGAATTTCACAGATGTTCCGTAATAGCTTTTGTTAACTATGAAAAACTACCTGCAAATTCAGTGGTGTCTTGATTCTTTTGAAAAATGTCCATCAGCTAAGATCTTAACAGCAGTTCATTCTGTTTCTTCAATCTTACAGAAGTTAGTTCTGTTTCTTAAATCCCATGGGAATTATAAAAGTGTGCAGTCGCTCAGTGGATCTAAGACAACTTTTGGTTTTTTTAATTTCTGTATTGATATAAATTATTTTTATCGCTTTTCTGTGCAGCCAGATCATTAACATTCCGGTTATCAAAATGATGAAACCAAAATGTAGAGCTCAAAAGCAGCTAAAAAAACACAATAAAATATTTTAGAACAGAATTGGAAGAGACTTAAAAGCACTTTTGCAATACCGTCATGTATTCTATCAAGAGATCTTGTTCTTTATATGGCTAAAACTACCCCATCAACATCTAAGAGTTACTGTCACACTTGAAGGAACTTGCAAAAGTGTAAACCTTCAGGAAATAAAAAATAAGAGCTCTGCAAACCATTTGGAACACCACTTTGCAACACACCCTTCCTATGACTAAGAATCCTAACTTAATCAGATTGCTGAGGTGGCTATGACTATGGAAGATTTGGCAAACCTACTGTACTTTAACACCATTTCCTGAGTCCTCTGAGCATGCACAGTACACACTTCCACCAGAATGGATGACAAGGCAAAGAACTAGAAAAGGTGGTCTAATGTATGCTTAAAACAAGCTTCACACATTTGGTTTACTTCATGGATCCCCAAATTCTTCAGCTTATCAACCCCTTCGTGAAGTTTCAAACTGTTCATTGACCCTAAAACATTTATTATATGACAATAATTTAATAAATACTAGTTTAACTAGTAGTACTATGAATAACCACAGCAAAACAATAATAATAATAGATAATAATGACGTCATTAAAAATAGATAATATTTAAAATATGAAAAACATAACATATCTTTTTTTTACTGAAACTGTTGATATCCACCTCACTTTCAGGACTAGGGACAGGCAAGGAGCTCTATAGAAAACAAAAGATTACCAAAGACTTTTTCAGATCATAATCCTGTGGTTTATAAAAGAAAATCTAGTTCTTTTAGATGGAGATTAAATGAAATGTTGCTACAGAAAAAAGCAATAGTGGAGGATTGTAAAAAGAAATTAAAATAATTTTTTGAAAATAATGTAGGTAAAGGCACTGATTTAAGAATGGTTTGGGATGCAAGTAAAGCTTTTATTAGAGGTTATTTTATACAACGTAACAGTGATCTCAAAATGAAGAGTCAAGAGAAAACACAAGCTATTTTGGATGAGATAAAGAGAAAAGAAGAATTACAGAAATTTCCAGAGAAGATGTATTTCTCAACAAATTAAGCTTTTACAATGACAGTTATCTATGTTAAAAGAGAAATGGAAATACAAATGAATTATGTAAAGCAAAAAAAATTGAGTTTGCAGATAAACCAGGGATATAAATTATGAAAAGAAAAGAAAATGATATTGAAATTACAAGAGGGAGTATAAATGTACAATGTGGCCATACAAAAAGCATTTTATCAGTATTATTCTAATTTGTATAAAGAAAATGACATCTCTTTAGAGTAAATAGATGAACATCTAAAGAAACAAAAATTACTGAGAATTACAGAGGAACAGAGACAAATTATGAATGGACCTGTAACAATAAGGGAAGTTTCTGAAGCTGTAAAAAAGATTAAATCAAGAAAACTGCCTGGACCAGACGAATTATCTTGTGTTTATTATAAATGCTTTGAGGGTGAACTTTTACAACCTCTATAAAACACGATGAATTCTGTCTTACAGAGAGGAAAGATGCCAGAGAGTTGAAAGAGGCTAATATGCACTAATACTTAAAGAGGGACAAGATTTGACAAGCAAATTGAGTGATATTGCTCCACAAGAAACTGTAGAGCAATATCACTATTGAATAATAACTACAAGTTGTTCACAATGATTCTAGCTGATAGACTGAAAATAATTTTGCAAGAATTTATTCATGAGGATCAATGTTGGTTTTTACCTAAAAGACAGTTAAAGGACAATGTTAGAAATGTGTTGGACATTTTTGAATATTTAGAACAACATAATGAAAAACAAGCCACATTGATATTCGTAGATACAGAGAAGGCCTGTATTTGAACTAGGCTTTCTTATTCAATGTTTTGGAAGATATCAGTTTTGGAGAGAACTTTATAAAAAGGGTAAGATCGATTTACACTTCATAGAAACCACAAATAATTCTTAATGGAGATCTGACAAAACCCTGTGAGGGATGCCCACTGTCTCCTCTCTTGTTTATTTTGGTTCTTTAAATATTGAATAGAGACATAAGACAAATGAGAGGATTGTGGGAGTAAAGATTAAAAAAGAAAGTTATGAGTTAAGGGCTTTTGTAGATGACTTGCTGTTGGTTTTAGAAGATCCTTTAAAGGGAATTGAAACATTAATGGGCAAATTAAAAGAATTTGGTGCATTAGCAGGTTTCAGGATTTCATAAGCAGAAGAAGATATTAACAAAAAATACAAAAATATATTGGAAAAGTTATTAGAAAGATTTAAACTAGACAAAAAAGTTATGGTTTTAAACATTGTAAGACTGAGTTTGAAATAGAATTGTGTACAAACAATGAATGTGTAATTGCTAACATGTATAAACTTTTATTGAAATTTGAAACAGAACAAGTAAAAGAATGTATGATAATTTGGGCTAAAATTTTGGTTATAATATACAGATGGAACAATGGGAAAATATGTGGTTGAAAGGATAGAAATTTACACTATGTTATAATCTTAAAGAGAATTTTTCTAAAATGCTGTACCATTGGTGTATGTCATCAGATACATATTTAGAACATATTCCTCTTCTCTAGATTAGCCATTAACGTTGAGTTTAGATTATGGTATACTCTTGGTATTTCTTGCTTCAGGGATTTTCAACTTCTTAATCAAATAACATTATTTGATACTGTCTTGACAGCTTTTTTCATTTTAACACTGTAGGACTGTAAGAATTATAACACAGCAATATACATGAAGCACTGTATAAATATTAAAATGCTTGATGAAACCTACAGGGATATAATTAAATACCTACATCAGGGTAGGAATTCTTTGACCGTGCTTTATTGGCTCCCAGCACAATCCCCTCCAGAAATCATGGTGTGTGATCATGAAAGATGAGTTAGAATTCAACAATATCTGACAAGAGTAAAATTTTTCATGCTGAGTGACTGGTGAGCTATCTCTAGCCAGATAAGACTACAGTATAACTGGCATTAGAATCTGAAACAGATGATAGGCACACAGTGGTACTATGAACCTAATCTTAGAGTAGCATGACCCTTTTAGAGCAGGTTGAATGCCTGGGCAGATTAGGTTTTAATTAATATTTTTTAATTTATTTAATCAATGTTTAAGGCCAACAAATTTGGGCAACTTACAGAGAATTAAAAGTAATAAGAACAAGAAAAACAATAACAAATGGCAACTGTACTGGAAAGGAGAAGCAAATTCTGCTATACCACAGTGGGTTTACAAGTTATCACCAACCTAGTGCCTGTAGGAAGAGCCAGTCTTTAATGAGCTCCTAAAGGTCAGCAGGACTGGGGCCATAGGGACCTGGGAGGGTGGGGGGCTGTCCAAAGGACAGAGAAGGCATGCCTCCTTGGTTCAGAAGATGACACTTCTTCACTGATGAGACCTGAAGCATACTAATCCATCTTCAGACCATCTGAAAATGGCAGTTCTGCAAACAAATCCTACTAAAATAATTTCTCCTTTATTTCAGTATTTCTTTCCCTGAGAGAGAATGTTTACTGTCTAAGATACTACTTCTGGTCTTCCTTGCATATCACTACTGTTGTTTTATTTGTTTTTTCTAGACAAAAAAGAAGAACCCACAAAAGTATCTATAGAGGCAGGACGAAATAGCACAGAGCTTCCTGATACTTTCCAATGTTCATCACAGCTTCAGTGCAATGTCGGTAGAACAAAATCAAAAATACCAGCTACCAGCATCAAGTCACCTGTCCCTGCATCTCATCTTGAAGTGAAAGCAGAAGATTCAATCCAAAAAAGAGGTAACATAGATTGTGATGCAGTTCAGTTGGATAAATACTTATTACTGTTCCCAGTTAGTATTACTATAAATGCTACATCACCATCGATTCCATGACATGTAATATATTTTGCCTACATTGTAAATGCAAATATACTTCTTATCTTATAGACAACAACTCTGGGAGCAGCTGCCTTCAGTCACAAAATCACCTCTCATAGTGTCAAGTCCACAATGTCCACGCCCCAATCCCGAAGAATTCTCATGCAACCAGGCCTGG